ACATCATACTAGTTAGGTAATGAAACATCTATAAGCAAACAACTCAAAGAGCACCAAAAACTCAACAGTTCGACCTGAGCTACAGATACATTCTTCTATTAATATTTAAAATAAATGGCAAATCAATCAGATAAAATTTAAACTTTGGAATCAAAATTTAGTTGATGTCAAAAAATTTGGTCCTTGGAAGTGGATTATTCAAGATTGTTGAAACTGTTTTCAAAGCATCAAATATTTTTGAGAAGATAATTTCTCTGGAGTAAAAATAACAGTTCTTATATGAAGTTTTTAAAATTGCTTGCTACAATTGACAAAATATTATCAGGAATGCCTTTAGGAGCCTTTTAAGAAATGTTTTGTTATGTGATACCTGTCAAATATGCTTGTTCATATAGTTCGTTGATGCTTAATAATTCTGAATTTTGTTGCCAACAACTTTTTCTTGCTTGATCCCATGTTAGAGCTGAAAGGGAATTGATCTGGTAGAAATCTCCTGTCCAGTGATTTTTGACCCAGAAAAAGTTATCTTTTTCATCTGTAAATGTCATAAAAATAGAGTTATATGATTGTATAGTTGTAGTGCTGTATTGGAAATTGTTGTTATGGAATTGGAAAACTCTGAGTGGATTGAAACAAGAAACTGGCATAAGGAGAAATGTCAACATATCATTATCAGTGATAATCATGATTTGATCAAGTTTCGTGCCACAATTCTAAAAGAATAATTAAATGCAGCAGAGTAATTGCTTAATTGTAATATGTATATATTATACATTGTTGTGTGTGTGTATGTGTGTGTGTGTGTGCGCGCGCGCGCGGGCACACACACAGAGCAGAAAAGTTTGGAGGAACTGGCTGCAACGAGGCTAGATGGATCTTGGCCTTGAAAATAAGTCTATTGACAGTTTATTTTTTCAGGAAAGATTCTCTTAAATAAAAAGGGCAAAACCAAACACACAAAAGATAATACATTTAAAAATGATTAACTAATTTCATACATTTTGTTAATTTAGAAAGATTCCAGTTGATATTAATTCAACACATGTTTCTCAATTTACTGCTATTCAAAGTTATTTTGGAGCATTTTTATAAATAAACTCAAGGCAAAGTGATTCTGATGACAGAGACTTCTGTAAACTAATGCTGATGTAGAAATGCTGTCATTAAGTTATGATTCCCTGGGAAAGATAAAAAGCTTTTTCTATGTGCACGGGGTGAAACAGTCTATTCTAAAAGGCTTCTTTTTAAACATAGATATGCATGTACTCTTGCATGAGAGCCAGTTTGGTGTAGTGCTTAAAACATCAGGTTAGAAAGAAGAGATGGTCAGTTAAAATCCCACCTTAGCCATGAAAACCAGCAGAGTGACTTTGGGCCAGTTACTTTTTTCAGCCCAATAAACCTGTTGTTGTAGAAAAAGTAGAAAGAGGAAGCTACCTTGTGTTGTTTGTAAAAATAATAAAGGTATGATAGAAATAAATAATGGTATTTATTTCATTTACTTCATGGTATTGGACCTGGGTACTTGAGAGACCGCCTGCTGCCAATTACCTCCACCAGACCGATTAGATCCCACAGACTAGGCCTCCTCCGAATTCCATCCGCTGGCCAGTGTCGACTGGCGACTACCCGGAGGAGAGCCTTCTCTGTGGCTGCTCCGACCCTCTGGAACGAACTCCCCGTGGAGATTCGCACCCTCACCACCCTCCAGGCCTTCCGCAAAGCCCTTAAAACCTGGCTGTTCCGACAGGCCTGGGGCTAAAGAACCGTCCCCCTATCTCGAATGGTATGATTGTTGCGCTTTTAAATTATGTATTGTTTTGTGTTGTTGTCAAATTGTTTGTATCCCCCCTTCCCTGGTTTTGAGCTGTGAGCCGCCCTGAGTCCCCTTCGGGGGAAAAGGGCGGCATACAAATGAAATAAATAAAATAATACTTTACCAAATAACACTTTACCTTTTATTGGGCAATATCCAGTTAAAGAGTCTTCGTCCACATCTGGAGTTGTTCCACACCAAAACCGTTTGTGTTCATCATCATCAACTATGCATTTAGCATGCCATTTATTCATATACTTAAAAGGAAACACACAAGGTGCTCCCAAGGAATTGCCTTCTATAGTGAATAGAGCTATAAAAATATCAAACATATCCATGTTAGATTGAGAAGTACTGAATTGAGAGTAGAAATCTTATTCAAAAATATCTCAGGATTTAGTTCTGAGGAATGTGTATTATTTGTGTACAATACATGTAACCATGACTACTTCAATAAGGGAAAAATTTTCAGAATTTATATCTTAGAATACATGCCATTTTTTCTCAGATAACGTAAAAGACAACAACTCTACTATGTTAAAGGTAATAATATGACTTTGCTATCAAATTTATTCCAATATTCAGAAAAAGAAATTCAAAGAGAGGGAAAAAAAAATTCAGCTAAGCAAATTCAACAAGAATGATTAATATTCTTATATTTACCTTCATATTTCTGGGCACACAAGCTCTTCTTTGTTCCATAGATCTTCCAAACACTTTTTGTGGAGGGTTTTTTGGATAGTATAACCCCATTCTCACGTCCATTAGCAGGATTTAAAAACAGTTCTTGATTTACAAGGGCAAATAGAGTGTCATTTCTGCATTCCCATTTCTGTAATTCAGTGGTTTTGTTGCACCGTGACAGTGTAACTGGAACCATGTTTGATTTTGAAGGTACACTCAGGCATAACTTCACTGCCATATTCAATAACTGATGATCGGATACCCACTTAAAATTTTGCCATTCATTAAACTTGTTGCAGATGTCGAAGGTGAAGGAACGAGATTCTTGAAGTTTTAGGCAACGATCAAGATTTTCATTGTACATCATAAAAGTGTCATTGTCTATAAAATTAACCAAATAATAATAGTAATAATAAACACTGCATATGTATGTATGTATGTATGTATGTATGTATGTATGTATGTATGTATGTATATCTATATCTATATCTATCTATCTAGATAGATAGATAGATAGATAGATAGATAGATAGATAGATAGATAGATAGATAGATAATATTTAAATTTAGCACTTTATATTATTTATTTTAGTATAATAGATGTAGATAAAATATTTCTAAAATATATAAAATACTTTATGATGTTAACTTCTGAAAGATTATTTAAAAGCAATCAGTAATTATAGAGAGTGCATCCATATATAATGTTTGGAAAATAACAGATAATAACTGAAAAACTGTGATACTTTTTAACAGAATAAAAATAAATTAAACAATTGATATTTACACAATTGATTTAAATACATTTATAAACAATTTAAGTAATTACACTTAAGTAATTACTTAAGTGTACAGTAATTACACACTTACCTGATATTTGAAAAACTGGCTGAATGAGAAATAAAAGATTAAGAAACAAAAATAATGTAGGCATTATAAACAATAAAACATTCCCCAAAACTACCCAGAAATTAAAAACCAACTGGGGTAGCTTCTTTTGAGGAACTTCTTTATATATAAGCAAAGAACAAATTTTTACTCCTGCCTTCAATCTTACGACATGTTATTTTAATAAGGAAGACTATAAATAGTATTCGGCTTCTGTGTAAAAGACCTATTAACATATGTTTTTTCAGGAATTTACAGTTAACCATTATACATATAAATTGTATATGTATATTAAATATTCCATTTGAGAATAGAAAGCAGTATACATGAAATGAAATACTATTTATTTAGTCAGTGACCAGTGACCATTAAATCTGAAAATACAGGACACATAAGTAAATCAAATGGATGAAATAAAATATTAGCATAACAGGGAATTTCTGTTATCAAAATATATTATATACTCTAATGATATATTAATTACCATTGCAAGTATAAGTCTAAAATATTACAATCTTTATGAGTTAAAACACATATTACCTAAATGAAATAAAAAATACATATCACCTAAAACAAAATAGCTAACAAGTAATAAACCTGAAATGCTGAATAAAATGTTTCTCATACAATTATCCACAAACAAATGAAGTAATCAATAAGACATTATAAATCCTTATTTGACTTACTTTTTAGCGATGATCTCTTTGCTAAGTATTTTCTTTATTATCTCAGACCTGTATTATGTACTGTTGTTACCTCATTCAACAACCAACTTTCTATAACTCAAACGTACATTCATTTTTCACTTTCAGATATTTCTTTGTGACATGCTGAAGAGCAAACCTGGTTTTTCTACCCCTGCATGGTATAAAGGTATTTTACGCTTTCCAAATTTCATTCATTTAATTCTGTTCCTTTTCCAAGTAACTTATAGATAAATTTATTTATTTAATCTATGGGATACAGTGACAGCAAAATTACAATTCTAGACAGAATGACAGTCAAAATCACTAGTTCATTCTGTTCAGCACTTGCGTGCCTATCGTGGAATACACCACAGGTGGCAAGCTAGCTTACACTAGCTGATTAGTGGCTCCTCTGGATTCCTCCACTGGTCTTGCCTTGCCTCACCTCACTTCATGTTGTCTTGCTTCGCATCCAGCCAAGTCCAGCACTGGCTTCTACTTTCTCATGAATGCAGTTAGGTTCTCAAAGTGATACCCATTTATCTATTTGCAATATTGGATTCTTTTGAATTGCTAGGTGGGAATGAGCCAGGGAGCAAGTGGCAGGAGGTTATCCTATCTTGCAGAGCCGGGCTTGAACCACTGCAGTGCAAACCATTTCTGGCTAGCAGTTTCAATGTTATTAAGCCACTGTGCTACTGTATCCTCTTTATCAATAAATAAATATGTGTATCAATAAAAGATTTTAAAAGGAAATATTAATGAGAATTATACTACAATCAGCATAATAAGCCAATTCTTGCTGGCTCTTTATTTTTGGAAGTACAATATATCTCCTGATTGTTAAGATATATCAAACTATCAAACTGTTGAACTATCTAACAAGGCAATATTACCATCATTATTCTCATCTTCCCTCCTTATCTTATGACTACAACTTTGTTGCTTATCATTATTGTTGTATGTACATTGAGAGCTTACGCACTGGAAACAAATTCCTTGTGTGTTTAATCACACTTGGCCAATAAAGAATTCTATTCTATATGCAACAGTATTTCAGCTTGAACCATGTTTTCAAGATTAAAGCACTTGAAAGGAAAAGTTTGGATATATTGCCCAAAAGGTGACAGAGCCTAAACAAAACCATTTATCTTTCAGAATGCTATGAGTTGCTCTTAAGGCAATATAGATTGTACTTTATTTCAAACATTTGATTTTTTTTCTTCAGAAAGTATGCGGTCAAGGACTGGCTGTGGCGATGGGAACCATAGTTAGAATACCTGGAACTTCTTTGCCATAACATACCATATAGATTCTAAGATTTTAACATGCAATATAAATTAGGTAAACTAATTTATACTAATTAGGTAAAAAAAAACTGTTTCATTGTTTTAAAAATTAGAAACCAAGATATAATACATATTTAGAAGAAACTTATATTAAAGAGTTCTGATAAAAAGTATTTAGTAAATATAATTCTGAGCTTGGAATATATCTCTGTCAATCACAAAAAAGATCAATGGATTAATTTTGTATATACATTCCCAGTTACAATCAAATTTATTATTCACAGAGGATCAAGGTAGATATGTAATTGTGTAAATTGAATTACAAGGAATAAAATCTTCGGTAGTTGGTTTATATATCCCACACCAAGAAAAAACCAAGTTTTTAAAATATTTGTCTGAAAAGCTATTATCCTTTTATTTTCAGCATTAGTATATACTTGGAAATTGAATAGGTAGTAACAACTGGCAAGATCTACTGATAAGGAATTAAAGATAAGTAATGGAAACTGCCCCAAACCTTTTTTGAATATTTTGAATATTTTGAATATTTGATTGATGTATGCTGATGTAAAAATTGGCTTTTTTTATGAGACATAAATCCTTTTCTAGAATTAATATGACAAGGATTGCTAAAAATTTGGTTCACAAGACAAATAAAGCTAATATTCTTCCAAAATCTTTTTCAGACAATAATCCAATGATGGTATACCTTAAATTCAGATCTCAGTCCTTTAAATGGAAATTAATTAAGACCACAACTTATTAAAGAATGTAAGCAAGTATTCCATGTTTTGTGTTAATAACATGCGGACAATTGGAGCGATGAATCATCCTGTGGAGAGTTGGTTATAACAAGATGGCTGCAGTGAGATGGCTCACACTGAGTTGGCCACAGTGAGATGGCCCATTCTGCTTACAAGATTCTAAAGAAAGAGAACAGTCTTGGTTTGCCAGACCTAAGATTTTATTATGATGCCTGTTGCTTGGCATGGTTAAATAATAATTTTGGTAACTGTTATGTCCTAGCCTTGGAGATGTGGCTTCGTCTCCAAGGCTCGCCATTGGTCGGAATGTGTGTGTGTGTGCCAGAGCGGGATAGTCACCGTTCTCTGATGGGCTAACCGCGGGTCTGCCTGCATATAAATTGCTGTCAAGCGGGAATGTTCTTTATCTTAGGTTCTGGAGTTGCTGTTATGTTAGCTGTTTAATAAAGCCTTGTTAGCCGAGCCCTGCCTTGCCTCAGTCATTGCCACCCATCGAATTTAACACTGATGATGAAGGTGGAATGCTCTGAGGTGTAGGAAGAGCTGTGTCACGTAAGGCAGACTTTCATTGTTTATACAAGGCTTCCGGCTAATCGCTGAGGCAATCTCCTCAGATCGTGTCTTCCTCAGAATGATCACTTTGAGCAACTTCTCACCATTTGCGCCAGGGTTAGAGTCCTGGGAGGCTTACATTGACCATTTTGAATGCTTCCTCAAGGCAAACCACCTGGCTAATTTGCCTAGTGAGGGAAAGAGGGCTCAGTTCCTGAATGCTTGTGGGCATGAGATGTTCGGAACAGCCAGGATTTTGGCCGCCCCACAATCAGTCCAGTTTTTTTCATGAGAGACCCTGTTGACCAGACTGTGGAACCATTATGCCCAGCTCTGTCTCACATAGCTAGGCGCTATATGGTTCAGCAAAGTCTTCAGAAGGAGGGGGAATCAGTGAATCAATACGTGGCTGCCCTCAGAGCTGCAGCACTGCACTGTGATTTTCCTAATTTAGATGACACTCTACTTCAGCAATTCATGTGCGGGGTGACCGATTCGAGGCTGCATTGCCACTCGCTCTGAGCTCAACCTGCAAGCGGCATTGGATGTGGTTCACGCCTCTGAGATGTCCAATGAGTCCTGCGCCGAGATTAAGAGGGGTCAAGCCACAGCGCCCTCCCCCTGCGTTATCATCTACTAAGACTGTGCCTATTCATTATGGGGAGGTAGACGAACATTCTTCGTCTATCACCGATGAGGCTGAGGTTGACTGCCTCAAAACAGGAAGTGGCAGTGTGGCGCGATCACGCAAAAATTTACCTCAGAGCCATTTTGCTGGTTGTGGCGGGAACCATGCCCGTGCCTGGTATCATTTCAAATCTGCTATTTGCCACAAGTGTGGAAAGAAAGGACATTTAGCTAAGGTGTGCTGCACACAATCCTCCCCCTCTCAGGGTCAACCAGCTGACCACTCATATTACTGCAAGCCAAAGCCATGGTCTTATCACACATCAAGGTCTGTTTTGCAATTTTCCACAAACAGTGGCAGGCTGTTCTGCTGACCAGCCAGGCCAACGTGACATCGAGGAAGAAGATTTCTCTCAGCGTCCAGCTCGAGGGTAAGCCCTGCCGTATGGAGGTGGACACTGGTTTCTCAAAGTCTATTGTATCCTGGTCCACTATCAAGCGTTTGGTGCCTTCCTTAGCCAAGAAACGCCTGTCACCTTGTTTTATCAAGTTGCAGGACTATCAGGGAAACTATATCCCAGCAGTTGGCAGTGACCGGTTCCAAGTGGTCACTCCAGGTTTTAAGGGAAGGCTTCCCCTCATCGTCATCCAGGACAACCTTCCCAGTCTACTAGGCCTAGACTGATTCGATGCCCTGGGCCTCAGTGTCACTGGGGTGCATCCAACGGTGGGCCTTGATCAGTTCGAAGGCCTGATGAAGGAGTTTGCTGCAGTTTTTGATGGGTCATTAGGTAATTATAAGGGAACCCCCATTAGTTTTAATTTGAACCTTCAGATCGCTCCCATCCATCTCAAGCCCAGAAGGATCCCCCTGACCCTGCATCCAAAAGTGGACGTTGAACTAGATAAGTTGGTTGCCCAAGGGATCTTAGAGCCCGTAGTTTACTCCAAATGTGAGCCCCCCATTGTGATTCCTCTGAAATCCAATGGCTCCATTAGATTATGTGGGGATTTTAAATGTACAATAAATAGGGGTCTCCAATCCAACCCCTACATTGGGATGGGGCTCCATTTTTGCCAAACTGAACCTTGCCCAGGCATATCAGCAGCTCCCTGTGGATGCTGCTGCTGCGGAAGCACAGACCATCGTCACCCACAGGGGAGCTTTTAGATGCCGGCGGCTCCAGTTTGGTGTCAGTGTAGTCCCGGGCATTTTCTAGAGGCTCATGGAGCGACTGCTCCTAGGCATTCCGGGGGTTGTCCTGTACTTCGATGATGTGCTTATTTCTGCCAGAAACAGCATGGGAACTGATGGCACGGTTGCGTGCCGTCTTATCAAAGTTCCTGGAGGTGGGATTGAAACGTAAGCCTTCAAAATGTCAGATAGGGGTACCCAAAATGGAGTTTTAGGGTATCTGATTGATGCCAAGGGCATCCATCCGACCACCGCTAAAATAGCAGCCATTAAGCAGGCTCCTGTACTGACCAATAAAGCCCAATTGCAAGCTTTCCTTGGCCTCCTCAATTTTTACTCTGTCTTTTAGTCCCATAAAGCCTCTGTTGCGGAATCCCTGCTTCTCAATAGTAGGGATACGTGGAGGTGGGGTCATAAGGAAGCAGCCACTTTTGTGGCCGTCAAGGACCTATTAACTTTCAATGCTGTCCTTGTTCAGTATTGCGACCACCTTCCCCTGAAGGTCACATGTGATGTGTTACCTTTTGGGGTGGGTGCTGTCCTGAGCAACAAGCTTCCAAATGGGTCTGAGGGCCCCTGGCGTACTTTTCAAGGACCCTGTCCCCTCTGGAATGTAATTATAGTCAATTGGATAAGGAGGTGTTAGCAGCGGTAGCTGGAATTAAATGATTCCACAACTACCTGTACGGATGTTTTTTTGAGCTAGTGACAGACCATAAGCCTTTACTGGGGTTATTGGCAGGTGATAGACAAACTCCTGTGATAAACTCCTCGCTTGTCCCGTTGGGCTGTCTTCCTTGCTGCATACAATTATAAACTTGTTTATTGGCCCTGGAAGCAGGCGGGGCATGCTGATGCCGTAAGCCATTTCCCTCTGCCGGTGTCTGATGCTCACCCGGATCCTGACCCCCTAGTGTTACTGATTGAGGACCTTCCGGTTCCCTTAACAGCCACAGATGTTGCTACCCATTTGGCTAGGGATGCTACTTTGGCTCAGGTGTTAGATTGGGTGAGGAGGGGTTGGCCGCAGATGCAAGTTCTCTCGCAGTTCCTGCCATTCAAACACAGGCAGCCTAAACTGTCAGTACAAGGTGAGTGCCTACTGTGGGGCCATAGAGTGGTCGTTCCTCCTCAATTGTGGGAACTTATCCTCCACTATCTACATGAAGGGCATCCTGGGATAGTAAGGATGAAGGCCCGGGGCCAGAGCTATGTGTGGTGGCCTGGTTTTTATCAGGATATTGCACAGTGGGTGACTAGGTGTCAGGAATGTCAGCAGTCCAGGCCAGCTCCCCCCACGGCAAAACCTAGGAAGTGCGAGGACCCCAAGACTCCCTGGGCTAGGATCCATTTGAATTTTGCAGGGTCGTTCCTAAATAGATGTTCCTGGCAGTGATTGATGCATATTCAAAGTGCGTGGAAGTCATCCTAATGTCATCGATCACTACCGAGGCTCTGATTAGGGTGTTGTGAAGATGTTCGCGGCTCATGGGTGCCTGGGTGTACTGATATCAGATAATGGCACCCACTTGACCTCTGCATCTTTCCAGATGTTCCTAGTGGGTCACAGCATCCACCACGTTCTAGTGGCCCCTTACCATCCCTCCAGCAATGGCATGGCAGAGTGGATGGTGCGATCTGTTAAGAAGTCCCTAGCTAGGCTAGAGGATTGGCAGATACCTGTTAGTACAGCACAAAGTCCCATCTCTCCTAACTAACTGCAGCCCTGCAGAGCTGTTAATGGGCCGCCGCCTCTGGACTAACCTTGATCAACTTCACCCCAGCTACTGCAATGACAAACCTATTGACAACGATGACCCCACCAGGGGTTTTGAAATGGGGGATCTGGTTTTTGCACAGAACTATGGAGCTGAGCAGAGGTGGTTACCGGGACACATTCTGCAATTAACCAGTCCCTGCTCTTACAGGGTTGGCCTAGGTGATGGGCGCATTTGGTGCTGCCACATTGATCAGCTGTGACCACGAATGGTCTTGATACAGACATCAGCTGATCTCTTCCCAGTTGATCTTATAGATCCCCCAGTTACTTTGGACACCTCTGTTGAAACGCAGCATTGCCCATCCTGGCAGTCTGGTATTCTGGCACCAGACTCACCTGAGCCATCAGAGTCGCATCCGGAGTCGCCGGGTGGAGAGTTAGTATAGTTGCATGCAGTTCCCCTGGAGAAGCCTTCTCCTGTTCCTTCTACAGCGTCAGTTCCAGCCGAGTCAAGAAGATCGGACCACATGCACAGGCGGCCTGCATATATGCAGGATTATGCATGTACCTGACTGGTGGAGAGGAGTGTTATGTCCTAGACTTGGAGACATGGCTTCATCTCCAAGGCTCACCATTGGTCGGGATGTCCGTGTGTGCCAGAGCGTTCTCTGATGGGCTAACCTAATCACCGTTCTCTGATGGGCTAACCGCGGGTCTGCCTGCATATAAATTGCTGTCAAGTGGGAACTGTTCTTTATCTTAGGTTCTGGAGTTGCTGTTGCGTTAGCTGTTTAATAAAGCCTTGTTAGCCGAGCCCTGCCTTTTCTCAGTCATTGCCACCCATCAAATGTAATAGTAACATTAAGGTTATTACATCTTGAAGGTTCTGATTTGAGATTTGGGTAGTATGCCTATTGATAATAAAGTAAAATAAAAGTTAATCCCTAGTTTCAAGAATAATATTATTAGGCAGCTAGGAAAGTAGCTGATAAAGTACCACTATGATTAAAAGGGATCCGGCTTGAACCTGAATCACATATTGTGATTTATTAATATTTGAAGAAGAGGGGCCTAAAATAATAAAAAAGAGAACTTTTCTCTGGGCACTTGCGCTGTTGCCAGCTGGTCTTCTGATTTCTGACACACGAATGCGCACTAGCCAGCTGGTCTTTAAATGCGCAGGAGTGCTGAACACTGGAAAAGC